GGAAATTAAAAGGAAGTTTAATTGAGATTGAATGAGAACATGAGCATGAGTAATGCATTCATTTCAGAAAGTTTTAAAATGTAAAAGTAAAAGCTTATATTATTGATTGGAAATATTGTTTTAGAAGCATTCAAACATTTTAAAATGAGTGTAATGCTTAAAGGAACATTTAGTTCAATTAGAGCCTCTGTCTTGCAAATAAGGGATCATAAGTCATATACTTTAAGCTGGTGTGAAAATTGAAATAACGAACAAAGACAGTCTTGCCCTCGAAAGCTTCTAACAAGGCTCTTTTAAAGGTGTTAATGCAAGACGGGAAGGTTTTAGTTATATTATTTGCTGAAATGTGCTTTGTTGCCATAATTTTGCATTTACCTTTAATGTATTAATGAGCAGTGTTGGCCTAGTGGCTTTAGCGTGCGATTCTCACCACTGAGGTCGCAGGTTCAATCCCCGGCTGTGCACCAATGAACTTTCCGTCTATGTGCGCATTTAACATTCGCTCGAACAGTGAAAACATCGTGAGGAAACCTTGCTTGGCTTGCCTTGGAACCAAAAAGTCGACGGCGTGTGTCAGGCACAGAAGGCCGATCACCTACTTATCTATTACATATACAGAAATCTGAGGCCCAGACCTAAAATGTTTGTAGCGCCATTCACGTATTAACTATCTTAGTTTAAGTTCCTCCTCCGATCGCTTGCTCATTGCTTAAACGTCGTGTTACTCCTGAATCTGCGAACGCCTCCACCTGTAAAATATAACTCAGAGGTCGTTTATAAAAGTTGTCTATTATACCAATAACAAACATCATTTCCGGTCCAATTTTATAGTTTCTTTACAATAATACAGAATGTAAGTAGGTGAGCAATGAATCATCATTTTTATATTAGCAGTTTCATTTCCAGGATGTATAATTTTACACATATTAGGTTAGTAAATATTTACAAAACTACACAACGATTCTTAGGTTAACAACCAATGTAGATATCGAAACTTTATAAATTTATACTATACAGCTTTTGTTTATATATATACCTATATATAATAGGTATACTGTAATGTATATAATGATATAATGTAATATATATTTCAGTCTAAGGATCTTATCTTTATTTAATTATGTAAAGCAATACATAAAAATAATTAATAAATACAGCTTTAAAATATTGTACATTTTCAAATATTCTACTCGTGGCCGTCTGACCCCTTCGGCCTCGAATTGTCCGTGTTCATAAATCAGCCATGCAAATTGAGTTATTTATTATTTAAGAATATTTGAACACAAATTCAGATACTGCGGTAAAAGAATGAAATTCAGAATTATTGGTGCAGCAAATAAAGCTTACACTTAGAGAAGATTTACTTGGGAGCCATTACGACAAAGTAAAAACTAATCGTAATTGCTACGTTGCTTTTTCTATAGAAAGGATATTAGGCAGTATTTTTATTGAGAATATATATTGTATATGATGAGAATATGTATTGTAGCAGTTACGGATTAAGAACTCGGGTGTAAGCAAATCAATTGGTGCTAAAAGTGAACAATCAGTCAAATATAATGAGTATAATTTGATATATTATAGTCTACAACAATGGTCTGTGGTCTATGCTAATAATAGTTTCTTACATTGCGGTAAATTTGTAGTGTATGCACACTAATTATTTACTTTCCAAATGATGGATAAATACAGCTAAGATATTACCTTTAATATCATTCGCCGATCTAGTTCTGGATTATAAAATAAATGCTAAATACATCATTGCAAGCACCGTGTCGAATGTCTGTTGCAGATTCAAAGTACGTCTAGTTTCGCTCTGACAGTTGACACTATCTCTCGTGAACATCTTTTCTGAGTAAAGCATGAATTTATGTTGCCTGCATGCATTAATTGCCATATTTATATCATAATGTATAAAGACAGTTCCGTTAAGACAATAAATATTGTTGTACCGCTTATTATAATGTTGTCTATGACTTCAAAATTAGGTGAACTTATTTAAACTATCTACATGCGTATAATTTTATTTTATTAGATTACATTATCATTGTTTCGACGTCCTGGAGGAAAAACTTAGTTTTTGTTTAATGGTGTGGTCGCAATGTAAACACGAAATTAAGTTTTGATTTAGATAAATAAATGTAACTATTTTACTTATGACAAAACAAATGAAAATAGACAGAAAATATAATTTGTGTATAAATGGACGGTTGATAAAATTGTTTCAATCATTAATACTTATTCCTCAATAATCTGGCCTAACCATTCAACACTTTTCATGAAAGTCCTTAAAGTCAAGCCAAAATATCGAAATATCTTTTTATGATTCTAATTTACGACTATCTAAAATAGACAAACAAGCTATAACTACATACATATAATAAAGCCCGCTCACTCAGCACGCGGCAAATGGTCCCTTATTGCGTGCAACGCATGCGTCTAGTATAATATTAAACAATTTACTCTCACGCACTTTCTTCCCTTTGTTAATTATAGCACGGGCTCTATGTTATTTTGGTTACACCTATGTAATTTTATCTTGTTGCGTTGTCTTCTCATAACTAATTTTCAACGTTAGACGCATGGCTATTATTTCTTGTTGTAATCTGTGACAGTCATTTTTAAAATGAAGACAGCGTCGTTTTCTAACCGGGAAATATTTTTTAGATATAACATTTACGTGATTCAATTATATAAATTGAGAATGCTACGCAAATAAAAATTGTTATTTGTAAGTTATATTGTACTCTTATCTATCTGCTTGATTTATTGAAGTTATACTTCTTTTGGCGTGTTAGGGAAAAATTATGAGAGTAATTTTTACGTTGCGCGCACACACCGTCACAAAAAACCAGTCAACATTAATGACCTATAATCGAAATTATTTAAATTTTTAAACCCTGGCCTATTGTTCTGTAGGTAAAAATAGTTTAGCTTTTCGTCCCGTCGGAACGGGATATGACTTTTTATAGAATAATGCAACAGGAAGTCTAGAAGAGATTCGCTATGGTGTTGTATGCAGTCTATTCATGACTGTAGGCGTTTTCATGTGACAGACGAGCAGTGGTGCATAGCGACCGGAAACCGCACTAGCGCGCTATCGATTTACTTCTGCGATGCGGTGTGCTCTATAGTCTATTATTTTACTATTTTACAATGCTAACTATCTTAAAAGTTTGTAGAATTTATTAAAGAAAAACAATATGTAACACATAGAGTAGAAGTCAAACAGTTAAATTTTTATTGTTGAAATAAAACACAGCAACGTAATAGACATCGCAAACTAATTCGAGAATAAACGATGCCAGAATGGATCTGACGAGAGTATGAATGTTAATTTTTCGTCATGAATTCAAGAACAATCGAATTCATTACTCAAGAAATGGCTTTAATTGATGTCGATAAGTAAACAAAAAACTATGTCATCAAAATAGTATGATAGTATCTGTAAAATGTATATCTATGGCTTGGGACTTGTAACATTTATCTGAAGATTGCCTGCTATTCATTCAGCTTTCATATTATTCGTATCATCATATCGTATGACGTATCTTCGATCTAAAATCAAGATAGCCTTGGGGCATTTATACTGTCGCGCTACTGTTCTGTGTTCTAGTCGTGAGTGTCGCATCAAAGTCTAGAAGACAATAGTTGGTATTTAATGTAGACATTGATGGCTCGTGGCATAATACTATTAATTACTCGAATTCAGAGAATTAAGTATATATGTATTTTATGGTCTTTATTAAATCCGCATTTAATTTATTTGTACACAATTTCTTGAATGAAAGAACTTATCTCAATAAGATTGCCAAGAGTCAACTTTTGTGTATGTGAACGTCGAAATGTTTGTAAAGAACACTCGTTTCAGATTTACAACGCTGCGCATGTTTTCTCTTGTCAGTGATAAATAAATTTTAAACTTATTCTTGCGTTAACTATTTTTCTGATAAATGTTGATAGAAAGTATTTTATCGTCATGCTATTTTTTAATACAATTCTATATATAGAATTATACCATCTATAGGTGTATAAACAAGAAATGTTACATAAAGATGATTTCAAGAAATGGCAATTGCATTTATTGGTCTTTGAGAAATATTTTGTAAATTTTACCATATTCATTTATAACCGCGCATAATAATTTCTCACTAATGTACCGTTTCTTATTCACTCGGCCGCAGTGTAATCGTAAGTTGTTGCTATATAAATTTTTATTGTAAGGAATTGGTAACATATGAATTAGTACTTCAATTATCAAAATAAAGCGTTAATTTTTAAGAACTCTGTCTGTACTAAAAGATACATATAGTTTTGAGTGAAGACTGTAGCTTCCATGTAAAGAATTTACTTTGTAAGCGGCTTCTAGAGATAATATTTATTAGCTTTCACGTGTTCTTTTACACGCTCGAATAACTTTACTCAATCGCCTTTGAAATTGATGCTTATTACATGACTTGGTGCATAAATTGTAATGCATAGGTAGCAACTAAATACTAATGGCTGAAGTAAGAAATGCAGTGGACTCGTAACTATGTAGCATCATAGACATCACTTATCGTGGGGATTTCTTTATTGGTTGCGGAATGTACATATATAAAAAGTGTTTGGTGTATCTTTAACTTATAAAAAAACTCATTATTTACTTTCTTAAGTCGACCTAAAAACCTAAGCATTCGTAAATGTTAAGTAAATACTGTATAGCGTTATAAAAACGAATATCAGCGTCTAAAGTTACTTTCTTAAATTTATCATACAAATATTGGCCGTAATTAAGTCATTAAATTTCCATTACTTGTAAAATATAAATCAAGCGAGATTTTTTATCGGGAAAACATGTATACCCATACTTTAAAAAAAAAATATAGAAATGAATGCCCGCTGTAGGAGTTTTTGCGGTATACGAATGTAGGGTGGACTACCCTTAATAAAATTGTACTCATGTCGGACGTAGACAATATACATGTTTTCACAACGAGTAAAATAAAATAGTTTTCACTATGTCCAAAATTTTTATCAAAGTTTTGAGGTAAACGTCAGGAATTATAGAAGTGTTATAATGAGAACTCGCACTGAGGCGTTTAAATGACATCTCGTTAAGCCGTCTTCATTTCGCAGCTTACAAAATGCCAGCTCCAGGCATCGCTTTAATAACTTACGTGTGATACGTGCACCTATGTTATACCTATTTCAAATTTCTGTATATTCCGAAGTCTTATAATTATTAATGTTAAAATATATTTATTTGTCCACGTTTGAAATGAATTTATATTTAAAAATGACTATGACAGGTTAAAGTTTTACACATACTTAGAGGGATGGATGGAGTAGCGATAATATACATTTTGATATAAATCAACAAAAATTTACAACAATATGAAACAAGCTTTCCATCATTACAGGATACGCACGTCCTATGCACTTCATTGATTCACTAACCCATTTCGCTAATTAAGGTCAATGAACTACAATTCAATGATTGTTCAAAGGCAATTTGAGTATGTATTGATTTGCGGTGGACATTTGACCAGTGGTCTGTCCCCTGCGGAAGTGGGCCCCTCCTGTACTTTTTTAATGAGTTATGCATGTTCAGGTAGGGACCGATTGCACTTTTGGTATTTCGTTTCGGTAATATGATAGGCACGTTAACGAATGAGTCAGATTTTGAATGTATTTCATTAGTTTTATTTTTTCTCGCGGAGTAAAACTCTTAAAGTTGAACGCTGTAAACAAAAAGGCATATAATATCTATTCTGTAAGTACAAAATAATTACCAAATAATTGCCTCTAAATGTAAAGCAGTAAGGTTTTTTGAAGTCTTTTACAATTATACAATTTAATAACAACATATCTCAACCAACATTTTCTCTTAACAGATACGTCTGATTATTAAAAATTGTGTTACAGAGTTCCCAATGCACCAAAGAGCTGCATCGCGGAGATATTCAACACGGACGCAGTGGACGGCGGCAGCCCCGTCAAGAACGGCTCGACACGCTCTCGCTCTGTGAAGGACACACCCACTCGCCCCAGGGACACGCATTCCAGGCTGTTCGGACAGGTAATATCATATTTTAAATTGGTCTTGATATGAGAACAAGAGATGTGACCGATATGATGGAAGATTTGGGCTATGTGAGAGTGGATTCATAATAAATATTGATTTGCGGATATCTAGGTATGTATTCTCAGACGTACCTTAATCGTATCTAATCATTACTTAAGCTCTAATTTCATAGATAAATAATAGGTTGAAAGGATTTAAGTAAAACATAGTCAGCATAACGCAGTCTATCTGTATAAAATGTTGCCTTCCGTATAATAATCTTGTGGGGTTGTAATTACAAAAAAATACGAACCATATCTTTACCTGTTAGTATCTTCTCATATAATAATTATCTAAATGTTTAACACATTCGGTATTCAGTTTAAGTAAGGTTAGTTTTAACAAGACGTACTTGCCACAACTGATATGAAATATCCCTTATTATTTATGAATCCCATCTATAATATAACATGTTACGTTTCAGAACGCATCAGCCTCCGTGACTCCAATGATAACGGACACAATTCGCAGCAACATTCAGTTTGGTGACGGCGCAATGAACGGCGGAAGTCCAACTCACTCGCCCAAGATGAACGGAAGCGCTTCATCTACGCCCAGCAGAGGTGAGGGCGAAGCGGCATCTAACTGTGAGTCGAATCTGATGTAGGCACAATTGCACAAAAGAGCGGTAACACGATTGTGGACTGGAATTTCATACATTACATACATTTACATTGCCACCGAATTATGGTAATCACAAAAGTTATAAAAGTAATTTGACCTGCCATTGATTGTATTAAAATAATTTGTTATTACACACAGCCTGTACATTACTCGTATTAAATCAGTAGAAAAGTAAATTTAAAGGTCACATTTAAGTAGAGAACCGGCATTAATCGGTTTATGCATATAACAAAAAAATGCCAATTACAATACTATAGCGGTTTCAACATACTCAATCTAGAAACCCATAAAATGTTACACACGGTAATAAGTTAAGATTTTAATAATACTAGCGTGTCGAATTCAGGTAATTACATAATTTTAAAGGTGTCAGAACTATTGCAACGTTTCTAAGAATTCCTTTCCACTTTCGTTCAATTTAAGCATACAGAGATGTTGTAAATTCTAGAAAGAACTGCAACTTCTGCGTATGCGGCGTTGGGCTCGCGTGCTCCGAGCACATCTAATTGCATATGTGCACGCTACAGAGGACGCTTCACATATAAACACTATCTCCCATACATAAAATACGATGACTAAGCTTAAATGTACATAAATTTTAACAAAGAAAACAATGCTTCGGGCTTAGCATGAGTTTCGGAACGATAATATCACAAGGCGTTTTATTTAAATTTGATTTCATCGAGGTCATTGTTTTTATGAATACATTATGTTAAGTCTATCTTCGGATGAAAACCGTTTTGTTCTGAATGGTCAGTAACGTACACGACGCCACCGAAGAGGAACCCCGTGACTGGCGACGGAGTGCTCCTCCCACCGCTGCGACGCAGACACCCGCAGGCCCAACGAGGTGCTGACTTAGACCAACATCCGCAGCCGACACATCGATACTTCACTAGCGATTGGCCTCCCCCACCCGCCAATTATTACGTAGAGTCCACGACCAGACCCTGCTTGACAACCCACCAAACCCCTTACACTCTCCTCGGTCTCAAAGCCGACGATCCTGAAAAATCTCATCCAGTAATAGACCCGGATTCGATTGAACCCCTCGTTCTAGACCGTCACTGGCCACCATTCCCTGCGCAGCATTACCTTGAACCGAGAGAACGTAAAGTTCCATATCACCCTTTACCACCTCACTCTTTTGTTGGCATGACATCTGCGTTAGGTGACAGGCCAATGCCCGAGTACAAATATAACCCTATACCGACCTTAGATGGTCCAGTAGATCCTTTTATTGTCAGTAACCTTGACCCTCCACCCACTCTCTTTAAATACGAAAGGGACGCTCCCATTCCCGATGTTATGCCTCTTCAGACTTCATGTGGCCCTGGTCCTAGCACCCTCACGGGTTTTCCTCCAATATTTCATAAGTATGTCCCGGGATTCCTGTTTGATAGACACCAGCAAGCGGAGGACTTCAAACATAAGACGTATTACGTAGACTATGTTCGCCGAAGAGAGATGGGTGGGTGTTTAATTTAGACTGAAGGAGCACCGATTGTAAAAATTCTGTACCTACACTTTTATAAAAATTTGCACTGTGATTTTTTTGCAATAATCTTTGAGACGATTCCTTCAAGTCGCTAAATTAAGCACTTAAGTCCGTTAAATTTATTTGCTTATCTCTTCAATTAGAAACGTTTAATATATTAGATTTTGTCGTTATGTATTCCTAGACGTTGTATAGTTTTCATTCTTTCTTGTTTTATGTACCTGCCTAGAATATTATAGAGCACGCAATATGATTTCGAAATTGTGACAATAAGTCATATTAATTCTTTTAGATGTAAACAGATTGAGACAAACATATCTCATAGGTGTTTATAGTGTGTAGTTAGAAATTGAATGTTGTTAACTTTGATAATTAGTTTCTGTATCAAAAGAATATATCTTATTTCGTAATATTTTGACGGAATCATCCTTAGATAGACTGCGTTTCGAGCATTTAGTGTTTGTAATGCATGTACCTATTGATATTTCATAAATACTTACTGATAATAATATCACCTTATTATCTCGCTTAAGTCATTAAATTTGTTTTTTTTTCATTCTCATATTGTAGTATTTCTTAGCTATCTTATTTCATTTAAGGATTAAAATTAACAAAAATCTCATTAAATTTCAGAGGGAAATCCGATAACCGGCGTCGGCTACAAATCATTGAACGGTCAAATCAACACGGTTACGTCGATAAACGGAAACAGCAGCATTCTTCATAACCGAGTCCCACCCGGGGGTTACTCATCCGGTCTATGGTAATCTGACAGACGACATTCAGCAAACATACGAAACCTCCTTCGATAAATTAATGACAGCAGGTTGGCGCCAATTTTTACAAGTTCATAGAAATACTGGCCGTTTGATGTTAAAAAATTATGTTTGACTGAAACTGAATCGCTGTTTAATGTAACATATTTAACGTAAATTAGTGACGTAGTTAAAGTCGTCAATCTATTGTCATTGAAGATTTTCTAAATCTAGAGCTATCTAATTTAAAATAAGTATTCGCATTTGCAATATATTCCATTATGGTAAATAAAAAACTTTTAATCTACTAAATTTAAACTGGAACAATTTTATTTTATCTCGCACATTTAATAACGTCCAAAAGGGTATATGTTCAAAAATCCTTAGCCTGTCCCAGACATTATTTAATTTAGACATAAATATTTTTGTAATATTCGGTTAGTTATAGACTCCTTGTTGACGCATATTTTAAAAATAACTATGTCCCTTGCAAAGACCGAATACATAAAAGCAGCTTAATTTAAGAAATTAAAATATTATCTTCTTTACTATAATATATACGGAGATTTTATAAGAGCTCTTAAAATTAATTGCCTTAGACATTTGGTTATTTTTAAAATACATTCGTCGATTGTATTGTTAAGGAAAGAAACATTTCTAACGCATCAATTGTAATTGAATTAGGAGTGAGGATGTATCAGCAATATACCAAAACGAATAGTGCCTTGATTGGTGATTTGAAAGTTCTATAAGCAAAGATTAGATGCGTGAATACGGAAGTGATTATATTATCTATATTTGACAGTATAGAAATAGTAATCATGTGGCACACAGGCTACATATTAAATTAACATTTATTCGACATAAGTATCATTAATCTCGTTTGTTGAATTTCATTATCGTCATTTAAATAGAGGGTTTTATAGATTGCATTTATTTTGTCTGTTTATAAATTTTTTTAGTTTATTTTCTACTCGTTTAGTATTAATTTGAATTTTGGTCGATTATCTGTTAACAAAGGATCATAGTAATGTCTGTGTGTTAATAACGAATAGACTTAGTGTAGGCATATCAACCGTGTTCTGTCTTATAACCCTGAAGCACTGGCCTAACCCTAACATGTTAATAGATAATAACCACTATTTGAAAATAAAGTTTTTTAATAATGACGTTGGTTTCATTTGATCTACAGAGTCAACGCAATGCCAGGACTGACTGAACTAAATATATTCGGTAATAAAAAGATTTTTAGTCGTGCGAAATAAAATCGGGCATTTTATAGATCAGCCCTGCGATTCTGTAACTCACTTTTCGAACTCACACAGCGGTTTTCGCATCGGCGGTCGCTCTCAAATCAGTCCTGAAGCAGTCATTTTATGATTTGGCATTCTGATAAACAATAAACTACAAACTCCCACCTTTTCAGGCAGGAGGCAAACGGATAGGAGGCTCGTCTGATTTTTTAGTGATACAACGGTATCAGTAAGCAGCTGGTATCTCTTTCAGTTAAGGCCTAATGCCTCTACTCTAAACAATGAGAATAGCACATCCGGAAGTCGAACTGCCTTAAATCCAAGAAAATAATACTTTAAGGACATTAATCGATAGAGTCTAATAAGTATTCTCCATAGTAATATATTATCTCATATCACTGAGAAAAAAGGTAAATGAAATGATAAGAGTCGTTCTTAGACACTAAAACAAAAGAAGACTCCTATTAGTAAATCTTATCAGGATTCGTATATTTTATGAACAATAAAGAACTTCTGAGCTCTATAAACTATCTTTCATCACTTTCTATTTCACTTATAGCTTGTTTAGGTTTGTCCTTTGTCTTTGACTTTTCACTTATGGGAGGGGATTCAATTTCTAAAGTAACAGGTCCATCATTTTGAATCGATACTTGCATATACTCTCCGAAAACTCCATCTGCAAAGTGACAAATATTTTTTGAATATATTGAAAATAATTCACTTTTTACAGTTCAAAACATATTTAAATACAACAATTCTATAAACATTTAAGGGCCTACATTCTTTTAAGTATTATAGTCATCAATGTCCGCAAATACAGAATGGTTATGTCACCGTAAAATTGTAAACACCGTTAGATTGTAATCTATCTCGCGAGATTGTGAACTGTCGAAAGATTGTGAACCTCAACGCACTGCTTACAATTTAACGTATTATTATTCGGTAGATTGTAATCTATCGAAGTGAAACCATCTCAGAGTATGAGAAAGAGCAAAAAGCGCATACGAAAAATACCTAAGTCTTTTTTAGGTTTTCTTACGACGTATAATCAACGTTAGAAGTTCACATGAGCAAAGTTTTTTTTAATTAAAAAAAATTACTCAAAACTATACAATTATATACATGCTAGGAAGACGATTTTAAAAACGTATTCATATTTTCTTTCTTCTACTAAGAATATTATAAAAAATATTCTTTAAGGTTAACTGATTCTAGAGTTTTTAAAACATACAGTAAACGAATTTTTATTGAACAAAAAGTTAAAAGCAAGGAATTTGTATGACAAAATATTTTTAAAACTTAACTTTAATTTCGAAGCATACCGCACTCTTTAAAAACTTATGAAAATCCAAAAATTCTCATCCTGTCTAAATATTGAATCATAAATTGTGTGTGTGGTGGGCTTAAAACAATAAACAGTTTCGTTAAAAAAAATTATGGCGAAAGTGAATTTATTCGTTTGTTTTATAATACCCAAATTACTCGACGAAGAATTTTTTCTCATATTTTTGTAAAAAGAATATTTAAAATTTTTTGAGAAAATTTTCTCTAGTTCTACCATTTGTTTCATTTATTTTAAACCTTCAAATATAAAGACAAATGGACATAAAAACTAAAATTTGAAGGTTTTCATTTAGCTCGCATTATGCCTTTAAAATAAAAAAAATATTTCCTAAATATAAAATCCAAAACCTCAGAAGTTTTAGGCCAATTTACTTACCTTTAACCTTGTCCGGTTTATATTGATTTCTTAACAATTCTAAAAACTGTTCATAAAACTCCTTTGATCTATCTCCTGGCATTGCGAGGTGGAAGTCTGGCTTATTTCCCTGTGACGAAAAACTTCTTTATAACGCTGCCTTTATTTTATTTATAAAGTATTTTTAGTGACTACTTTAAATATTATAATAAAGTGGAATAGAAAAGAGTTCAGGTTGATGAATGTTACAGTCTTGTTTTAACCTAACAATTATTACTATTTATTAGCCAGTCAGTCTAATTGTTTTTAGACAAGGCTTTAAACATGTTAAGCTAATGTTATTCGATATATTTGATGTAGCTACTATTTAAAAAGTAACCATATCAGCTTGGTTAGTGTTTTGGCATATTCTTTAAAATTTATAGTTAGGTTAGTGATAAAAATATGGCATATACATAATTTTATCACTATAAAGCTAAAAAAAGGTAAATTAATTTACCTTCCATGTATTATATAAGGTAAACTGGCTAACACATAGCAATTCTAAATCTGCATCCACAACATTTCTTTTCCACCTCTTGTCTGTTTCATCATTAAATAATTTTAAAGAAAGTAATTTACGGGCCCTGTAACAAAACAAGTACATATTTTCTTATTATGTTGAACATCAAACATATAATTGTTTAAGTGGGTCAGCTGGCCTTACATCTGGATTAAATGTATTTGCTGGAATAGCTTTAGGGTACAATTCTCCAGGAATACTTTTCTTTTTAAATAATAATTTTTAGTGTACATACTGTATTCTCTATTCAATATATATTGATAACTACATAATAACAGATTTTCTCCATTTCCAAGAAATGTTGCCGATAATGAGCTAGCTGAAATGGACACTACTAGTTTTATGCATAAACATACCATATGCCTCAAATAGTAATATTATTACTACTTGATTGTATAAGATCATTTGTTTTTTTACAGCACAAACATTTGTTAATAAGAATGTTAATGACACCTTATAACAGTCTCATTAAAATCAATACATATACAATTCCTAACCACACACCACATCTAGAGAATACTATATGGTTAAAATAGTTTCTAGTTATTTAAATTACACTGGCTACTTACATAAACTCCATATCCTTAGCAGTATCAGTATTTGAGATACCTATAAAGATACATAATCCTTGTCCAATATTACTAACTAGCTCCCCATTAACTGAAATAAAAGAAAGGGTTCAATTCATTTTTAATTTAATTTATTTAAAATCAATAGCACAATAATGATATTAAATTATTACAATAAACAATACATTTATCTTTCTTCAATCGTTCAGTAAGTTTTAGAATCATTATACAAATATATTATTTTATAATAAAAACATTTATATACAAAAAATATACGTAAATCTCTATTTTAACCTGTAAACTTAATTTGCTTATTGAAAAATAGTTTTTACTATTTTGAGCATACCTGTAACGTTGGCATTACGTACACGTTGAATAAGAGCTTTCATTGCTAATTATTAAGTATTTCTCTTTTTTTGAATTGTTTGAATTTGAAATGTAATTATAACATGTAAATCTCTAATCACTACTAATAATTGTTTATTGTTTTTTTTACACCGATAGTTTAAAATTGGTTCCATTTCATTTGTCAATTGTCATGGATTAGAAACGAGGATAACACGAAGTGTCAGATGCGAGTCTCCTGTTAAATCTAGAAGAAATATATATATATATATATATATATATATATATATATAATATATTGATTATAGATAGAGCAAAGGACATATTATATTATATAAAATCAATTAAGATATCTTTAATAACTACCAAACTTCGTATTTCAAACTCAAAAGGTTTAGTTTATCTAATAATTATAAGAACTAATCACTACTATAATTCTTCCATTCATTAAAAATAATAAAAAATAAAAATTACTTTATTTGACTCAAAAAACATTACATTTTGTACTTACATTTAAATATTGTAAACATACACTAGGTTACGAATCATTGAGATACAATATTCATTGTGGTTAACCTTATACATAATATACTTCTATGAGCACTAGCATTTAAACTAGCGTTTAAGATACAGGCTAGGCAGGCAGGCTGAATCATTATATCATTTATTTCGTTACTTATTTATTATTAAGTTATAAGTGCGCGCCTATTCACAGGAACATTAAAAGTAGCGGATAAGCTACCCGTAAGTACGTATAAGTAAAGAAGAAGTATGAAGTAAGAAGGTATGAGGTATGTCATTGAGGTACGTCAATGAGGTTCGTCGGAGTTTTAGGGTGTCTAACTAGAACTAGTTATAACGAGCCTCGTTGGTTTCAAATAGACCACACAAATGTACTTACCTAGACTCTAGAGTCTAGGTAAGTAGGAGTCTAGGTAGGTCCTAGACGATTTCAATGATTTCTAATAAAACTTTTTCGAAATGTCTCAATGGTTTTAATGAGAATTTTGTAATGTGCTATGTACCAGATTACAGTGGCATTTCAAAGAAATAATTGTAAAGAGGTACTGCACCATTTAAGTATGTAAAAGATGTAGAGGACCTTAATATAAAACCTAGAATTGTATTAGCTTTGTTGACAATCGTTTCCGTGTCTTCAATGAAATTTAATTTTTGGGCAAGTATTCCCGAGGTTACGTAGTAAGTTACTTACTTACTAATGGTAAGTTTTAAATGTGGTAAGAATACCTTTTCATAATCGATCTTTCATTTGCTTATCAAGTGACACTAAATATGGTACCATAAGGATCTGTGATGTTTTGGAAAAAACAACAAATGGCGTTTTTTTTTTTTTCCGGCGGAATTTTTTTTTTTTTTTCTTTTTTTTTTTCCACCCCCCCCCCCCCCCCCCCCCCCCCCCCCCCCCGCGGCCCCCCCCCCCCCCCCCCCCCCCCACCCCCACCCAAAAACCCCCCCCCCCCCCCCCTTTTTTTTTTTACCAACAACCCCCCCCCCCCCCCCCTTCCTTTTTTTCCCCCCCCCCCCCCCCTTTTTTTTTTTTTTTTTCCCCCCCCCCCCCCCCCCCCCCCCCCCCCCCCCCCCCCCCTTTTCCCCTTTCCCCTCTTTTTTTTTTTTTTTTTTTTTTTTTTTTTTTTTTTTTTTTTTTTTTTTTTTTTTGGGGTGTGTTTTTTTTTTTGTTTTTTTTTTTTTTTGGGTTTGTTTTTAGGGGGGGGGGGGGGGTTATTTTTTTTTTTTTTTTTTTTTTTTTTTTTTTTTTTTTCCCCCCCCCCCCACCCCAAAAAAACCAAAAAAAAAAAACCCCCTAAATATATTTTTTTTTTTTTTTTTTTTATTTCCCCCCCCCCCCCCCCCCCCCCCCCCCCCCCCCCCCCCCCCCCAAAGCACCGGGGCCCCGGGGGGGGGGGGGCCCGCGGGGGGGCGGGCCCCCCCCCCCCCCCCCCCCCCCCGGGGGGGGGGTGTCCCCCCCCCCCCCCCCCCCCCCCCCCCCCCCCCCCCCCCCCCCCCCCCCCCCCCCCCCCCCCCCCCCCCCCCCCCCCCCCCCCCCCCCCCCCCCCCCCCCCCCCCCGGCCCCCCGGCGGCCCCCCCCCCCCCCCCCCCCCCCCCCCCCCCCCCCCTTTCTTTCCTCTCTCCCCCCCCCCCTCCCCCCCCCCCCCCCCCCCCCCCCCCCCCCCCCCCCCCGGGGGGGGGGGGGCCGCCCCCCCCCCCCCCCCCCCCCCCCCCCCCCCCCCCCCCCCCCCCCCCCCCCCCCCCCCCCCCCCCCCCCCCCCCCCCCCCCCCCCCCCCCCCCCCCCCCCCCCCCCCCCCCCCCCCCCCCCCCCCCCCCCCCCCCCCCCCCCCCCCCCCCCCCCCCCCCCCCCCCCCCCCCCCCCCCCCCCCCCCCCGCCGCCCCGGGCCCCCCCCCCCCCCCCCCCCCCCCCCCCCCCCCCCCCCCCCCCCCCCCCCCCCCCCCCCCCCCCCCCCCCCCCCCCCCCCCCCCCCCCCCCCCCCCCCCCCCCCCCCCCCCCCCCCCCCCCCCCCCCCCCCCCTTTTTTTTTTTTTTTTTTTTTTTTTTCTCCCTCCCCCCCCCCCCCCCCCCCCCCCCCCCCCCCCCCCCCCCCCCCCCCCCCCCCCCCCCCCCCCCCCCCCCCCCCCCCCCCCCCCCCCCCCCCCCCCCCCCCCCCCCTCTTTTTTCCCCCCCTCTTCATATAAAAATCCCCCACCGCGGGGAGAAAAGGGCCGGGGCCCCCCCCCCCCCCCCCCCACCCCCCCCCCCCCCCCCCCCCCCCCCCCCCCCCCCCCCCCCCCCCCCCCCCCCCCCCCCCCCCCCCCCCCCCCCCCCCCCCCCCCCCCCCCCCCCCCCCCCCCCCCCCCCCCCCCCCCCCCCCCCCCCCCCCCCCCCCCCCCCCCCCCCCCCCCCCCCCCCCCCCCCCCCCCCCCCCCCCCCCCCCCCCCCCCCCCCCCCCCCCCCCCCCCCCCCCCCCCCCCCCCGGGGGGGGGGGGGGGGGGGGGCGGCGGGGGCCCGGCCCCCCCCCCCCCCCCCCCCCCCCCCCTTTTTTTTTTTTTGGGGGGGGTGGGCTTTTTTGTAAATCACTACACGACATTTATTGATGTTTAATTTCATTCAATTATATAGAAACAATGTGTCTAGTGCAGACATATATCATTTTAGAGACTAAGACAACCCTTAAAGACCCTAATAGTTGTTCTGTAGAGTTTTAGATCATAAAATCTACTATTCTTTTTAAAATAAGCTGGATCATCATTGATAAATAAGGCAAATAGTATAGGACTTAAGTTAGATCGTTGGGGCATAAATATAGCTTCAGAGTGATAGCCATTAATTGCCACGACCGGTGTGCGATTTTTAATGTAAGAGGTGACCCATCTCAACATGTTTCCTTGTATACCACAATTTGAGAGTTTTACTACTAAAAATATCTTGGTTAATTTTGTCCAACGCCTTCTGAAAGGCAGTATAGATGAAATTAACTTGCATTCTATTATCCATTGCCTCAAAAAGAAAATTTATATATTTATGAGATACAAATCCATCTAAACATCCGACATACAAGTACTCCATAGTATCTAAACACAATAACACAACAATATCGGAACCCAGTTCTTGAAAGAAATGATTAATAATTGTACTTATTAAGAAAATCTAGTTAATAAGATGAGTAAGATCCTATCCTACTTGAGAAAAACACTTCACCGTTTTTAGGGTTGACAACGTTGAAATTTTACTATTATCTCCTTAAACTCATTAATATTTTACGAAAATTATTTGTGTAAACCCTAAACCGCCTTCTGATTCTGTTCTGATTCAGAAAAAATATAATACAGGAATTGAACTTCAAGTTTACAAAGACGATAAAGTTTTTTTTGGATACAGTCAATTGTTTATGATGACGTATTTATTGATTAAAAAAAAAACATCCTCATTTGAGGCGTTTCGAAATAGTATACGCATATATAGAAAACATAATCGAATGGTATGAGTAAAGTTGACCGCATAGGTACGTATTGAGAGACTTAACTGAACATAAATGAAGTTAGTTGTTTTAATACAATTTTTTTTAAAATGAATATACAAAGATATACCCCCCCCCCCCCCCCCCCCCCCCCCCCCCCCCCTCTTTTTTTTTTTTTTCCCTTTCCCTGTATAGTTTATGCAAGTCTAAAACATTATCAGCTGTCTCTTGCGAACCCAGGTGGTACATAGCGCAATCGAAGAGGCGTAATCTTATACCTACTTATGTTAAAATTATAATTGTGTTTAGAGTATGCTAGGATATTATAAACTCACACATAACGTTAAAAGAACTATATTTCTCATTACAAAAAAGATATTTTCTTTGATATGAGAAATTTAATACAATTACAATACAAACGAGATGCACTGTGCACATGGCATTCAGACGGTCGTTCCAAGCTCATTCTGATGTATCTTTAATGCCCTTTTAAATTGATTAAACACGCTTGTATTTCGAATTTAGATTGTAATTTATTAAATAGTTGCTCTTAACAGAATATATTATGTAATATTATTATATTATGATTACTGCATTTAATTTCCTATTTACAAAACGTAACAAATCAATCAAACCAGAAACTATAATTGTCTTTGCTAATACCTAAAGTTATGTCCGTAACTACTATGGGCGCTGTAAGATTTTAGGTAAACACCTTTAATATTGAGGGAAAATCATCGTAGACTTTGATTGTAAAAATAAAACTTTGTTTTTCATAAAAGACTAGTTTATTTCAAACTTAGAGACTACCTTTAAGCATTATAACAATTAAGAAAGCCGTAGTTACTAATCAATTACCATCCAACAAAATTTCTTTACATCCACAACAGACAATTTTATAGAGTTGTGCTTAAAATTAAAAATAAATTTATTGGGATACTAGTGGACCCCACAGACGTTGTCCTGCATGATATTTAAAGCGATTAGGATATTAAGCAAAGTATGAAAGTACCGACTGCAGTGCCATCTGCCGGGCTGATATTGTGCAATCTAAACCATTCCAGATCCCCTTGAACACACACAAAAACTTTCATCAAAATCGGTCCAGTCGTTTGAGAGAAGTTCTATTCACATACTACATCCACAACAGACAATTTTATAGTTGTGCTTAAAATTTAAAATAAATTTATTGGGATATAAAAAGCCAGATGTCCTTAAGGTTACCATAGAATTTGGACTGTTCTAAGTACTTTGCAGAAGTATTTTATTTAGATTAAACTGCATAAATGTATTTTTATTAATCTTATCACATCAAATGATTCTACAAAAAGTTTTTTGTACTAACATAGGTACCAAATCACACTTAGCGTTAAGACTTAACATATTGTTTGTGATAGTATAATTACTATTAAAGAAGCAACAGCAAAATGAACACAGGTTTGGTAGATCTGTGCTTTAAAACTAAACTATTAAATGCAAATAGTTTGAAAGTTTTACAAACCAATCTTCTGCCACTTTTAAAATAGGTTGTGTATAAGTTGTAGTTTCAATACCACATAAACATTTGAATTCGTAGAGAAAACTTAGTTTTTATAATAATTATAAAGTTCTATGATGAAACATTTGATAACATCACTCCGATACATTTTCAAATATAATCCAATTACCAAAAAATTATCTTCTCCCGTCAGATGGTATAAAGGTGAGACACAGGTGGCATTACAATATTTATATTGTAAGACAATACCAAAGTATAGTTGAAAATTGAAATTAATAGGTCATCAACATACCTAGTAACTATATTCTGATGATCTCTACACAAATATACACACAAGTACAATAATAATTTTCTTTTAATAAAAAATTCTCATAATTCTTAAGCTATGAGTATTTTCAGAGCTTCATACCTTTTACAAGATAATAATTCTATTACACTCTTTTTAAATTTTCACTTTCTTTATTATTAAGTTTAGATACACATAAATTCTTAGCACACAGTACATGCTAAATACGCTTGATTGATAATAATTGATTGGGCTGGGTTAGTATTATTAATAATCTTTGAAACTATCTTAAGTTTACAATAGCAATAATACCACTACCAAACTAAGTAACGGGATCAACTTGTAATCATAAAGGGTAATAAGTGTATAATAAATGGTAAGAAGAATAAACACTAACAGCCTCTTCCATTACAACCTCATTATAATTTAAACAACAAGAAAGATTCTTAGAATAGCCACAACTTTTTAGAATAAGACACTGAATTTGATTACATTATTGCTGGGTATGAGAACTATACTAATAGTTTCTATTAATTATAAATAATTTCATTGTAAGTAAGTGTCAGGTTATTAAGTACTTACTACAATAAATTAATTCAGTTCCAGAGATTGTCTCTTCATATTTTAAAATACTTACAAATTATAAATACTTTTCAAGAGTGCCAGTAAATATGAGGGAAAATTATCACAAGCAAATAAACCATAATCACTCATTTCACCATCATTCATTCAGAGTGGTGAATGATTTATTCGGGATCTCTTTTTAAATATATTTTTGATTCTATTTCCTTTTTCAAGTCTGGCAACTGACCTGCGTTGTAAAGACGTACATATTCTAAATAGCGTCTCTTATTTTCTGGATTCCTCATAATAGCCGATACGAATTCCGATGTTTCCTTTTGAAGAGCCACGATTTTTTCCTGAATAAGACGGTTCTTCTGCATTAGAATGAGGGTTTTCCATGCAAGGTTTAGGATCAGGCGGTTTTGTGCGGCCTTATCAGGCAATGCTTGGGTAACAACGACTGGAGCCTCTTCGGTTACCACAGGAGAAGCTAACCATTGCAGCCTCTGATGACGTCTCGCCTCTCGTAGCCTGGTTACACTGGAACCTGAAATTTAATACAATGAACAGATTAGCTTTGCAGCTTTGTTTTGCTTAGTTTATTTTTTTTAGCATGAAAAATCGATGATAATTTCGTGTTGATAGATTTTGAAATTATCGATACCTACTTGTTTGTATTTCCTAATTAGTACTTGTATTTCATTGTTTGCAACTTTCTGTATTATTTAATTATTACTAGAAATAAAGTGTTTACTTTAATATCCAATAAGTACCCAAAACCGAATCAGAGCACCCCACTATCCAAGTGGTCTTGTCTGCCCTATCCCTAGTGTATATAAAAATAGGAGGCGCGGAGGAAGAGCAGCCCCACCCGCTGTAACAAAGCACAGGAATAAAATGCCTGTGCTTTGGTACGCGAGGGTGGAAGGGCTGCATTTCCCGTAGCTGTCCAAAAAATCTATTATTATTCGGTGAGGTTAGGTTAGTATATAATAAAATAATAGTATTGTATAGTAAAAAATAGAAAAAAAAATATATTAAATAAAAAAAAACAAAATAAATATGTAATAGAAAAGAAACGGGTTTAGTTTTAGGTTTGGAATATTTTTTTTGGATTCTTTTATATTTAAATAACTGTTTCCGTCGCGCAATATTGGTGGGGGGGGTGATTACTACACCCCCTCTCCCCCCCAATTCGTGCGACGTAATTATAAATCGTTACCTGTCATAGATTTACACAATTACATATATGTATACATACACCAGTAACTAAAATATTCAAAGCCTTTTAAAAAAAAAAAGCTTCGAGAACTACTTTCAAACAAGGAAACCTCTGAATAGTTAAACGTGCATGGATGAGCGTACATTATAATTTTTTTTTACTAACAATATTCACTTAATTACAGCAGATTGATAAAGAGTGGTTAACGTTTATGTTCTGCTTTCAGTAGTTCTTGAGTAGTATACGTCAAGCGATCATTGATCGGAATGATGTCATTTTATAGATCAAATGACGTCACTTGTCAATCGGATGACGAAAATAATATTAATCGTAAATTTACGTATAATATGTATGCTTCTGCCTTTTATATAAGAATAACGATGTCATCAAAAATTATTAGGTTGAGTAGGCTTCACATTCATAGATAATTAACATGTTATGTTTAACTCCTAATAAATTTAGGTTTTATCATGAGTTACTAAAAAGGAATACTAATAATGAGCCATTGTTTGTTTTTATTAAATCTTTAAAATGCATCACTACAATTCAAAGTAAATAGTTTCTATTTCATTTTAATAACATATAGTACTAATAATTTGTGAACATTGAATACAATGAATCAATAACAACTCATTTAATTAAATCGATGAGTATTACACGATTATTGCTAACATTTGACAGTTTACATTAGAATTTAGACGATGCATTTCTCGACAAAAGAAGTCTTCTTCCCGTAAAAACGTGACAAAAGAGCCACTCGCCATTGAATTATTTTCATATCAGTTAAAAAAAAATTGTAATCAATTGTTCAATAAATAAACACAATCCGCTTTATACATTGTGTAAATACGTTTCATTTCATTGTGTGCGGTAGGTCAGCGAAACATGCAAGTACATTTCTCGTTAAACAAGTTAATTTTAATTTATGACTCACAAAGTTAAAAAAGCTGAAACGAACCTTTTTTAAATTTTCTGGTACGTTTCTCACACATCTTGGGATAACACACTTTGATAGCAACACAAACACTTCCAAAATTCAGACGATTTCGCGGCACGTACGTTTCTGTTGAGCGCTGAATGCGAAGTTAGCTCGAGCGATGTTTGTTTGAAAATCGAAGCCCGGGCGCCCGCGTGCCGGCAGTCCATCGCGTCGACGCTGTAACGCTAAAGCAGGATAGAAAATTGTGTTGCCATGTAAATAAATACAAAAGGCGCTTTAAATTATTATCTAGGTCGTTAAATGTTACATTCGTAATTTACTTGTTATATTAATATTCTACAAAAACCTCAAAGTGTTTTTAACATATATATTTTGGTGTTTGATTGTCATTTGTCATCGCACATTAAGTACTATAAAAGTCAGAACCAGTTACGATACGAAATCGAATTAATTTTAGATCCTTATTTGGGTCATAAATTAAAATGTACTTTAGTGTGACGCATTTTATTACTAAATCAAATAAGTGTGGCATATCAATTTAACAGAAATTATTTCCCTCTCAATCTAGAATGCAGAAGTTCAAAAATGAGTATGTTATACCAACTTACTTAAGAATAAAATAACGTTAAGTGCTTAGGAATTAATTTCCCCTTTTGGACCATTTTTTTCAAATTAATAATACATAAAATTATTTTCCCGGAACCTTTCGATTTTTATTGATGTGGTATCACCTACGCACCTCATCAAGTTCTAATAAGCTTACCTCGCATGGATCAACACGTGTGTACATTTACAAAATATCATTGCCCATTATCTGTCTGCGACTGTGGACATAGATGTGCTTAGAAATAGACGGTACACTTGCTGTTATTTATTGAACTCCAATTCTAGAATTTGTAACGTTCCATAATGGAAAATTATCTATTATTCCTTCCGTTTGACGAAAGTTACTTTGAAAGCATAAAGTATACTTAAAGTGTTAAGTATCCATTTACTTATGTTTACGTATTTAAAATTTTATATAACAGAAAATTAAATTTAAGACATATTTTATTTGTTTCGGCTAGTAAAGGGCAAGCATAAACATTTGATTAAGTATTAGAATCATATTTAGTTAAAAATATTGTCGCTCTATATTTAATTTCATCTGTGACAAGCGCACGTTGCGGCTACGTAGTTCACACTCCCAAGTTCCCAGCAATGAGTGAGTCACATCGTCGGCCGTCGCCTGCGCATAAACAGTGAAAACGTATAATACGTATGACTGTAAGGTGAAAGTCTAGAAATTTGTCGATATCTTTAATCTTTATTACAACTTACATTATAATAATAAAAGCCTTAATTGCTGTAAACTGTAAACTTACACTAGTCTTAATAAAAAAAACATTTTTAATTTATATTTTTAAAATTAAAGATAATTCACTGAAAAATATTTTTTTAGAATTAATATTAGGTCCTTACATATGAAATTGGCGTATTTCGTACTGGCCAATTTAATCACGATGTTCTCCTCTTTGGTAAGGAATTCCAAATTCAAATTTGTACAGCTATTTACTCATGTATTTGTTCGCTTTGCTTTGCTTCGATGACCGTCATTCATTTGTTTTTTCTTCTGTTTTTTTCTGTTTGCGTCACTCATTTTACATAATGGAAAACTTAAAGTATCCCATTATTTACGAGTACGAGTTCCGCCGTGGCACTAGTGCTGCCGGCTGCGGAAACGACTTGAAGGGTGAATGATGTGTATGGCGGTCATGTTGCAAAAGAAAACACAGTTCGTTTTTGGTTCAAACGTTTTCGTTCTGGAAATTTCGACCTGCAGAACAAGCCCCGTGGACGGCCTGAGACCCAAGTTGATAATGAAGTATTGAAGGCTTTTGTGGAAGCGGATCCATCGCAAACCACGTCCGAGTTAGCTGCAGGCTGCGGTGTTAGTGATAAAACTGATTTAATTCACTGGAAGCAAATTGGGAAGATTAAAAAGCTTAAAAGAGGGGTACCTCACGAATTGACTGAAGCAAACCGGCAAACGCGCGTCGACTGCTGCGTTACATTACTGAACCGGCACAATAATGAAGGTATTTTAAACCGAATCATTACCTGTGATGAAAAATGGATTCTTTACGATAATCGGAAGCGCTCAGCGCAATGGTTTGATCCTGGCCAGCCAGCCAAATCCTGCCCCAAGCGAAAATTAACCCCAAAAAAGTTACTTGTAAGCGTTTGGTGGACTAGTGCCGGTATTGTTCATTGTAGTTTTCTCAAATCTGGCCAGACTATTACGGCTGATGTCTATTGTCAGCAATTGCAAACCATGATGGAAAACCTAGCGGCTAAACAACCTAGGCTGGTCAATCGCTCGGCGCTCCACGCCACTGCTACTTTACGACAACGCTAGACCACACACTGCACAACAGACGGCTACCAAATTAGAATGTCTAAGACATCCTCCGTACTCCCCGGACCTTGCTCCAACAGATTACCATTTTTTTCGAAATTTGGACAACTTCTTGCAAGGGAAAAAATTTAACTCTGATGGGGCAGTCCAAGTCGCCTTCACAGATTTCATTGATTCCTGTCCGACTGGTTTTTTTAGTAAAGGGATCAATGAACTACCTATGAGATGGCAAAAGTGCATAGAAAACAATGGTTCATACTTTGATTAATTCAATATATTATATTTAAAAACATTCGACTCTTTGTTCCTCCCATACAAAACGCCAATTTCATATGTAAGGACCTAATAGTTTATAATACTCAAGAAGAAAAACATTATTAATTACAAAATTAAAAAAAATATTTTTATGAATCTTGAATGTTAAGGCATTAAATACCGCATGACCTCTGCTTAATCACTAATGAACAATAACATTAAGTCTACTCTCAACAAAATTGTAGTGTAGTTTAATATTTTGACTCTAGTTTAATTAAAGTAAAAATTAATTAATTTATACAGTAGGAATATAGAGGCAAAAATACCTTCGTCTAATATCAATAAAAGATCGAAATAACATTTGACAACTTTAGCCTGATATCGAACCCTACTCTTATAAAATATTTTTTATGCCACACCCGTCTATAATAGAGACAAAAAAAAAGAAAATTTCAGTTAATTGCAGAAAAAAAATTGAACTCGTCCCCCTCACAAAAAGTAACAGAATTAAGGCTTTGATGTCAGGTGGGCACACAACTAAGGTCTCAGTGTCAATAATTTATAGCGATTCATTAATACAGAGAAGACAATCATGCCTATGGTGGAATCTACTAGAAATAATTATTTTATATAAAATCATAATATTAAAATTTAAAGGGATAACGTGTTATTTACAAAGCTACCATGCGAGATGTATAATACTCACTAACCAGTGATTGTCGAGCACTTACTATATGTATATAGATATTCCCTACATTGTAGCATTGTAGATATACATATTATGTATGTAGCTAAACTTGGCAATACTGCATTTAATTCATAGCTGTAATTTAGTCTGAAACTATTTATAATTGATAAAATATCTTATGATTTTTAATATATTTTTAACATCACTTAAAGTAAATATTTGACCATTTGCGCGCGAAACTTGTGTTTAATAAATTTCCACTATGTATCTTAAAAAATATGAATGTTGATGTCAAGCGATTCATAAATAATGAGATTGGCCAATGCGGATCATGTAACTTTTTTCAGTATGGTGACAACATGAAAGCACATGTGTCCCAACGTGGGCGGAACGTGACCACCGACGTGCAACTCGCGTGAACGCTGTACATTCAAATATGGAATGCATAATTTTTATCTACTTGATTTTCAAATTTCGTTTGAAAACAATAATTCATAATTCATAACTAAAACGCTTCAATACATACTTTGAGCTTTATGTTATCGAATAGAGTTGTTATCTTATCTGTGCTGCCATAGATAACATCTATTTAAAAATGAAACACGTTTCACAGTTCACTAGCTAATACCAACTCCTCAACCGTGAAATTATTGCATTTAAATTTGGAATTATCATAATCAGTGAAATAACCAAAAACGCCGACAAGCGATTTATCTTGATTTGGGTTTTATATGATTTTTTATTGATTAGCAAGGACGTTATTCTACTAAATATAGATTCACACAACGTGATTTCCAGTTGAACTAAATCGGTACATAGCATAATATTCTTTGCGCAAAGTCACGTGGATATCCATGCGCAAAATTAATCTTAAGAAATTTACTAGAATTTTTAATGATGTCCAATCAAGATCAAACGAAACAAGCCCTTGTCTTGTCGTTTTTCATTCTTAGCACAGTTGACAGATCAAATAATCCCTCTAAAAATCCTTCAAAAAATCCCCATATAGGTATGTCCCTTCTATGTCGACTTTTGGGTGTAAGACTATGCCGATATCCTAACGATATACCGTACGAGCGAGAAATGCGTACATAGATAACAAATTCAAAAGGAGTTTGAAGGGACCTCAGTAGCACGTTGAAAACACGGGTCCAATGTGGATTCTCTTAAGATATCCAATTGTTGAGCAATTGGTATGCCATTTATTATTTTCCGTCTCATTGTGATGCAACGTCTGCCGTCACATGTACAATGATACACCTGCACGTGTCTCCACACGAAAACGTTTGCAGACATGTTTACTGTTTTATTAATTTTTCCGTTATATCGGTTTCGTAACTCATACGAACAACCTTGGTATCTGTTCGGTCTACAACGTAAAATATATAGCAGTTGTATCTTTCCATATTAAAACATTGACGTATTATTAATTCCATACTTCATACAATCGACGACATAAGATGAACGTAGATTGATCAATGCGTTTACCAGATCATGGGTTTAATTAAAGAAAAGAGCGTAATTCTTAAAAGGCCGGCAACGCACACGCGAGCCCATACATTGAGCGTCCATGGGTGAAATGGTGAGCGTCCACTTCCTGCCCATTTACCTCATGTTCTATAAAAAATATACAGACGTTATATGTATATCGGAATTTTTTTGGCGACATATTTTAATGCGAACGAAGTCTTGGTCAGAATTCAACAAAATT